AGAGAGAGAGAGTTCTTCTTCTTCCTCTTCTAAGTCCACCATCTCTTCTCACCCTCTCGCCACCTGACTTCTCAGACTACGACAGAGAGAGAAAGAGTTGTGACTTGAGACTTGACGACATTGGATCCAGACTGGACATTGGGATTCAGACATTTCGACGAGGGACTATCTGGGCCTGTACCGAGACTTGGTGTTGACGACATTCCCAACTTCCCCTCCTCTTTCGTCTAACCCCTCCTTCGTCGTCTGTGTATGGTTGGGGCTGGTGCAGTCTTCTTGTGTGAAGCGCCAGACCCCCTTCACACCAGATAACGATGATGATGATGTGTGTTTAGAGCTGCATTGCAATATTGATTGGTCGGATCATTCGTATCTAAGTCTTCCGCTGTGTTATCTTGAACTTTGTATTGAAGAGGTCGGTTCTTGTTCTGGTCTGCACGTTACAGTATGCAACAGTTTGGTATCGGAGCGGACCTCTCATTCAGAGGACCCGCTAAATCAAGTAGCCAGCTTGTGATCTATTGATCACTCATTAGTAACGCAAGTAGGACTTACTCAAATCTCTGAAGAAAAAAATCGCAACAACTATCTGAAATTTCTGATATTCGCATTTCGTTTTACCTGAAAATTTCTGATATTAGTAGTTCGTTTTTACGTAGCAAATATCTGAAAATTTCTGATAAATCGCATTTCGTTTAGTCTGAAAATTCCCGATAGTTCGGATAGTAGCATTTCGTTTCTCTGATATTTCGCATACATAGCTGAAATTTCTGAAGTTAGTATTTTCGTTCTCTAGGCAGATTGGGATAACGATAGAAGTGGTCATATTCTCGGAAACTGAAATTATTCTTTTCTGAAAATCGCATTTCCATTCTATGTCGCAAAATGTTTTTTGAAAACCGAATTTTGCAAAGCCTACCAATATTGCGTTAGGCATATTCGGAGGTTGCTATATTCTCATAAACTGGATTTCGTTCTTTTCTGAAAATCGCATCTTTACTCCATTTCGCAAAAAAAAAATTTCAAGATCACAGTTTGTAAAAGCCGAGACTTTGCGGAACCTAGCCTAGATCTCGTTCATAATACTCTTCTGACATATCCTACTCATCATAGATCACAGATATATACAAAAAAAAAAAAAAGGAAGTAGTCCTCTTTTATTTTTTTATTCTATTTTATCTGTTGATTAGGGCCGGAGGAAAGTATTGTTGGGTTGGTTTCCTACTTGCGTTTTCCCTCCCACCCACCCTTTGCATGCATTTTCGGGTTGGTACAGTGACACGTCAGCAGTGCCACGTCAGACACAGTGCCACGTAAGCAGTGCCACGTCAGCAGTGCCATGTCACACAGTGCCATGTAAGCAGTGCCACGTCAGCAGTGCCACGTCAGACAGTGCCACGTAAGCAGTGCCACATCAGCAGTGCCACATCAGACACAGTGCCACGTCAGCAGGCCACGTCAGCAACATGACGGGCCTGCCAGGCCAACTGGCCAATGAGCCCATTGCCGACTACAAAAAGCGCGTCCATGCTCAGCTCGCTGCAATAGAGGCTGAGGAACAATGCCAGCTGGCAGTCAAGGCTGCCCAGCTACAGGCTGACGAAGCGGCAACAGCAGAGAAGCTGCGGCTACAGGCCGAAGCAGACGCAGATGCCCAGGCTCGCCGCAAAGAAGCCCAGGCTCTGTTGCAGCGGCATGAAGCCAACAGCATCGAGAAACTCAAGTACTGGCACTTTGAACCAAACGGCGACGAGCCAACACCGGAAGAGCATCATAAGGAGTTCATGGCCAAGCTCGTGAGCAGGTTGGTTTACACATGTAACCACCTACAGTTCGAGCTGGCAAACCTTCAGCGGGCCGTGCGAAACCATAAGATTCAGCACGAGGATGTCACACGGGCACTGGACGCCCGTGTACTAGGCCTGGAACAGGCTGTACCAGGACTAGATGTTGGAGCTTCCAGCAGTGCATCCTCTAGCCGCCAACTGGAGGAACGCGTTGACCACGTAGTGGCAATGCTAGGAGAGATAAGTGCCTTCACAGAGTCGGCCACCATCAGCCAGCGGTTCGAGTTGCTGGACACTAGGATCAGTCAGCAACAGCAGACAGACCACAACCACAACAACAACTCGGCGAGGCCATACAAGATGCCGACATTCCGGATCGAGAAATTTGATGACTACACACATCAAGACCCGGTCGTCTGGTGACAGGGATTTACAATGGAATTGGGGATTCACAAAGTCCCTGACCATCTGTTCATCAGTGCTCTGTTCATCAACACCAAGGGAGATTGTCAGATCTGGCTCAGCCACATGGCAACCATCCACGGCGTCCGGGTTTCAGACCTGTACAAGAAGGTCTCCTGGGAGGACATGACAAAGGAATGGAAGAAGCGGCTCATCGTCTACGACGCCCCGGCACTCGCTGTCAACCGGATCTTCACGATGGCTCAAGGGAGCACACCGACACGTGACTGGCTCACGGATTGGCAGAAAATCGTGGCAACGCCCGATTTGGACTTGTCATTTCCGCATCTGCGGCGTGAGTTCTACAACAGGTCATGCGCCGCTCTCAGCCTCGCACTTGGTGATCGCGAGCAGTACAACACTTCCGCAGAGATCATCAATAAGGCAAGAGAGCTCATCAAGACTAACAGGCCCGCTGCACACGAGAAGTCCACGTGGCAGCCAACCTATGTGGAGAAGGTACGAACTGGTCCGCGACAGCAGCAGTTTGCTGCAGTCCAGTCGGACAATGGAGATAACCCAGCAGCCACTCCAGTATCAAGTGACGGAGATCAGGTGGCTGCTGTCCAACCGTGAAGCAACAACAAGTCCCGCAACAATGGGAAGGCGAAATCTGCATCGCAGGCAGGAAATGGACAGCCAGTACAAGTTTCATGGGTCAAGTTTGGCTTGACTGAGGCGGAGTACAAGGTCCGCGGCCGCTACGGCAGCTGCTATTAGTGCAACAGCACCAAGCACAATACCTCCCTGTGCCAAGATCAGGGCAAGGAGGATGTGCGACCCCGCCTCAGCTCGGGAAACTGAGCTCCGCGAAAGGTGAGGTGACTCCACCTTCTACTCCGCCAAATTCGGCCGCCTTGCTAGCGGCCTCCTGCACATCTGTGAAGAACGCGAATGTCGCAAGCCCTCGGTACACTTACGAGGATTATGCTGTCCACTTGGTTCCACCGCTGGACCAACCGCTCCACGTGCAACAATCCATCGCATGCACGGTTTCATCACCATCGGCAACTGATTCGGCACCTTCGCCACAACCTATCGCCGGGGATTCGACGTCATGGTCAAGACTTGAAGAGCTCGACCCATTGACGTTCACGGACTTCCAGTGGATGCCCGTCCCCTCGACCGGACGATTGCCGAAACCRCATTGCAATGTGCTCATGGCACAACTGCGAGAYTACTTGCACACTGCAGTACCAGCTCYGTTGATGGACGYCGGAGCAGAGGTTGTCGACCTTCACGCTTACATCGYGAAGATCGACCGCGAGTTCAAGACGCAACGGTACGACGACATCGACGCACCATTGCTCTACGTACGCATTCAGATCGGAGAGGCGACCTGCAGTGCCTTGATCGATTGCAGAGCATCTCGCAACTACATCAGCCAGGACTTCATGGTGCGCGTCGGCCTTGGCCCACGCGTCCGGAGGAAGTCCCAGCCTACGCAAGTCACCTTGGAGGACGGTCACACGCACAAGTCAATCGACCGGTGCATTGACAACGTCCCAGTGTACTTTGCCCCTCACGCAAGTGAGGCGGTGTCCTTTGACATTCTGGACACCAAATTTGACATGATCTTGGGCATGTCATGGCTGCGAAGCGAGGATCACCCGGTGAACTTCTTCCACCGCACCGTTCACATTCGTGATCGGAACGAGGTACTAGTTTCATGCACGGTGCCTCTTCCTCATCTTTCGATCAGCTGCCACGTGGTATCCGCCGCAAGCATGCGAGCTTCCATCATCAGAGACGACATCGAGGAGATGGGGGTGTGTTTTCTCCACGCCCTCCCTCCCCATGACGCTTCATCGGCGGACTCACCTTCGAATCGACGCATCACGGAACTTCTCGACGCTAACGTGTTCGAAGGCCCGCACGGAGTAGTACCGGATCGACCCATCCACCACGAGATCATCCTCGAGGACGGGGCCATACCTCCGCGCGGTTGCATCTACCGAATGAGCGAGGAAGAGTTAAGTGTGCTTCGGGCACAAGTCGACGACCTTCTGGAGAAAGGCTGGATTCGGCCTAGCTGATCGCCATACGGTGCTCCTGTTCTCTTCGTCCGGAAGAAGAACAAGAACCTGCGGTTGTGCATCGGTTATCGCAAGCTCAACGCGCAGACGATCAGGAACGCCGGCCCTCTCCCACGCATCGATGACCTTCTCGAGCGATTGGGCGGCGCCTAGTTCTTCTCTAAGCTGGATCTCAAGTCAGGGTACCACAAACTCGAGATTCACAAGGAGGATCGCTACAAGACCGCGTTCAAGACACGGTATGGGCATTTCAAATGGTTGGTCATGTCGTTTGGCCTTACGAATGCCCCAGCCACTTTCCAAGCGGCTATGACAACGGAGTTCCGACACATGCTGGATCGGTTTGTACTCATCTACCTCGACGACATCTTGGTGTATAGTCGGAGTTTGGACGAGCATGTGGAACACCTGCGCACCGTTTTGGAGCCGCTACGACAAGCCAAGTGCGACTTCACACAGCAGGAGCTGGAGTACTTGGGACACTATGTGACGCCGCAAGGCATCCGTCCGCTTGCGGACAAGATCGAGGCCCTACGAGTATGGCCCGAGCCCACCAACACCACGACCGTTCGTTCATTCATGGGGTTGGCGGGCTACTATCAGCGATTCATCGCCGGATACTCCAGGATTGTTGCACCTATGACGAAGTTACAGTCGCCAAAGGTACCATTCGTATTCGATGACGACGCATGCCGGTCATTCCAAGCACTTAAGACGACTATGCTCATGGCACCCGTCCTTAGCATCTATGACCCCACCCTGCCGACGCGAGTGACTACGGACGCTTCCGGCTATGGCATTGGGGCAGTCTTGGAACAGCACGACGGCGACGACTGGCACCCTGTGGAGTATTTCAGCCACAACGTGCCTCCCATCAACTCGCTTGACGATGCAAGGAAGAAGGAGTTGCTCGTATTCGTGATGGCTCTCAAGCGTTGGCAGCACTTCCTCCTTGGGCGTCGTAGGTTCACATGGGTCATAGACAACAATCCATTGACCTACTATAAGACGCAGGACACGGTGAGCAGCACGATCGAACGATGGATGTACTTCATCGACCAATTTGACTTCACACCGAAACATGTCCCCGGCCTCTCGAATCACGCAGCAGATGCACTATCGCGAAGACTTGATCTTTGCGCTATGACACATCATGCCTTCGCATTCAACGAGGAGCTTCAGCGACACTTCATCCGGGCATATCAGTCTGATCTGGACTTCGGCACGCTCTATGCACAGCTATCTTCGGATCACCCGCCGGCCAGCCATTACCGCATTGCCGACGGGTACTTGCTCCTCCACTCGAGAGGCAAGGACTTACTATGTGTCCCACGCGACCGTCGTCTTTGGACTCGCCTCCTCGGCGAGTATCATGATTCACGACTCGCCGGCCATTTCGGAGTCAACCACACTATTGCACGACTTCGACAGCGTTTCCGATGGCCCGACCTCATTACCGATGTCACTCGGTATTGCGACTCTTGCGAAGTTTGCCGACGCAGCAAGCCCCGCAACCGCAATCCCTACGGCGAGTCACACCCGATGCCTATCCCACGGGAACCCCGTCTCTCCATTGCCATGGACATCACCGGTCCGTTTCCTCGCGACCGACTCGGGCACGACGGCATCCTCACGGTTGTGGACCGATTGAGTAAGTACGTGCGTTTTCTCCCTTGCAAGTACTACTCCACGGGTCCCGAACTGGCACGCCTCCTGCACACTGGTTGGATTTGTGGCCACGGTGTACCAGAAGACATTGTCAGCGACCGCGCTACTCGTTTCATGTCGACGTTTTGGACTGCTCTCATGCAGGAGTCCGGCACAACAATGAAACCAAGTTCGGCTCGACATCCTCAGACAGACGGGCAGACGGAGCGGGCACATCAAACCGCTCAAATGATGCTTCGTACGCTCATCCGTCCGGACCAGAAAGATTGGGTTGACCGCCTCCCCGACATCGAGTTCGCCTACAACACTTCGGTGCACCCGGCGATCGGCATGACTCCATTCGAGTTGCACCACAGTGGACGGAAAGGCCGTATCTTCGCCGACCTTCTCCTCCCTCGACCAGCCGACATTGACGCTGCCTGTTCTCCCGCTTCCGTCCGGAAGTACAGGGAATTGCTGACTCAAGCCCGCGCAAATATGCAAAAGGCTCAAGTCCGCATGCAGCAGCAAGCCAACAGGCGTCGCGTACCATGTCCCATCCGCGTCGGTGATCTGGTTTGGGTCTCCGCGGAAGAGTTTGCACTGGAACAGGATGTTTCACGCAAACTGCTTCCCAAGTGGCTTGGACCTTGGTCTGTGACAGCAGCCGTGGGCGATGAGCCCGATGGCCATTCACTTGTGATCAACATTCGAGAGCATCTGACGGTCCATCTGGTCTTCCACGCCTCGGAGCTGGCAACATACACGCCAGCCAAGAATGACGACTTTCCGGGCCGACGATCGCAGGACCCTCCTTCTATGGATGGTCATCAGGAAGTTGACCGCGTCATCTCCGATCGCAAGTACGACAGCAAGCCGCCGCAGTACAAAGTCACATTCAAAGCATGCGATCGCGACGACACTCGGTGGATTTCAGGCGCAGATTTGAAAGCATCCGCACCGCTGATCTACGTGCATTATGAAAAGCGGAGGTTAGCTCAGGAAGTTTCACGACCAGCCCCTCCCACCCGGACTGTGGTCCCTCCCTCGGACAGACAGCTTCGCCCTCGCAGGTAAGCTCGGTTCTTCAAGGAGGGGGGGGTGTGGCATACTGCGTAGCCACACGGGCCCTGCAGGGCCCATCCCGGACATTCAGCCTAAAAGCCTAAAACTTAGGGCTWASAGGCCCCGKYYGTTTCAGCCTGAAAGCTGAAAAACGAGGGCCTGCAGGCCCTACCCCGTTTCAGCCTATTTCTGGGTCTTTTCAGACCCAGAGTTTTCAGCCTGAAACGGAGGGCCATTTTCAGGCCGTCATTGTTTCGACCTGCCCCTAAGACTCAGACACGTAAACAGGGATGCGGAACAGGCCAGAAATAGACTGTTCCTCACGAGTTTGAGCAGGAGCTGCAGCTGCAGCCCCTGCCTCCTTTCGGCAGGCTCAGGAGGCACACCCRGTAGTACATAGGAAGTTCCCATGCACTTCACGGGTAGGTAGTGGTCAGTAGGCACGAGTAGTCTTCAGGATTCGGCCGCAGCACTCAGGAGGARCGCTGCAGTAGTCTTCGGCGCTARGCAGGTATTAGCGCTAGCTGTAGTCTTCGGYGYTGGGCRCCCATAGCCATASAGGTAGTCTTCAGYGCTGGGCGCTATGATAGGTGGTAGATCGTAGAGTGGGAGAGATACTGGCGGAGGCCAGTGGTACGTACCTGTGGCGCCATCGCTCCAGCTCCATCTTCGTGGTACCTGCATCAAGGCGCCAACTTCACAGGTTAGTACTGGACACAGAGAGAGAGAGAGTTCGTCTTCTTCCTCTTCTAAGTCCACCATCTCTTCTCACCCTCTCGCCACCTGGCTTCTCAGACTACGACAGAGAGAGAAGAGTTGTGACTTGAGACTTGACGACAGTGGATCCAGACTGGACATTGGGATTCAGACATTTCGACGAGGGACTATTTGGGCCTGTACCGAGACTTGGTGTTGACGACATTCCCAACTTCCCCTCCTCTTTCGTCTAACCCCTCCTTCTTCGTCTGTGTATGGTTGGGGCTGGCGCAGTCTTCTTGTGTGAAGCGCCTGACCCCCTTCACACCAGATAACGATAATGATGATGTGTGTTCAGAGCTGCATTGCAATATTGATTGGTCGGATCATTCGTATCTAAGTCTTCCGCTGTGTTATCTTGTACTTTGTATTGAAGAGGTCGGTTCTTGTTCTGGTCTGCACGTTACAGTATGCAACAGCCCAGGCTCGAGACTACAGTTGAGGGTCTGGCCCCTTTTCAGTTGGGCACAGCCTGAGTCTTCGGACTTGGGCTGTTTGCTGCATCTGTGCAGGGCTCCCAGGCATGTGCGTAGGCAGTACTGCTTTTCGAAATGTATCGGCCTTGCTTTGTGCGTATGTGCCCATGCGCAACTGTCAGGGCCTGGGCCAACTGTTTGACGCAGGTACTGTTTGACGCAGCTTAGTGAGGCTCATGCGTCTAGCCAAGCAATTGGCGTGCTGCGAGAGCCTGAATACCCACATATGGAAATGTCGAATTTTGGCCTCTGATGAATATTCAGGCCCGCCTTCACTTAGGGCGGGCACTCGGCTTGCTGGGGTCCTTAGCCCATAATATGTGATGTCTGATAGGCCCCCTTGAGGGCTTGTTCCTCACAGTATCCTCTGCAACTTGCAGAGCAGAGACATGAACATCATCGAGCTAAAAAAAAAAAAAAAAAAAAAAAAAAAAAAAAAAAAAAAAACAGTTTTCCAACTTTTTCACCTTCAAAAAAAACGGACGGATGGAACCCCACCGGTGCGTTTCGGCATTTTTTTAAGTTTTTTTATTATTATAAAATTAAAAAATATGAATCATAAGCCAAAAAAAAAAAGAAATTGGAGGGGTTCCGTGACATGTACCGAAACCGTCTGTCAAATCAAACACCCCCCTACCTAGACGAGTGAAAAAAAAAACACTTTCCAACTCACCATGATGGCTGTCATGATGGGCCCGTCACGCAATTCGTGAACGATGACGAACCACTGGTCATATACCTCACCAGTCATAAACGGGGGTACGACACTTTATCAAAGAGATGTTCTCTAACCTACCGCATTCTTCTATTTTTAATGCCTTGCGATGGGTGATTGTTTATTCGCAAGAAAAAAAACGTTTGTGCACTCAGGGTCAAAGCAAGGGGAAAGGACGCTGAAGGATGGATTCATCTTCCCCTCCACACGATAATGTCTTTTGTATAATTGAACGCAATAACATATTTGTGTCTACTTCTGAGGTGCTGCTGCGTAAAACGTTTGGAATCCCTATGGGGAAACCATTAACTTCTGCATTAACTTGTCTCCTCTGTGCATATGATGAATTTCATTTTCTTTCTTCACTGGGGAAACTGGTCGGTATCTTGTGCATGAATTTGAAATTTCGTATTGTTGACGATGTCTCTATTACGGTTAAATACAAGAGTGATCGTCTTTGCTCCCGAGAATGAGCTTGCGAAACAATTCGTTTGTTTTCCGAGTGTTATGATGATAAGTTGATTCTCGAGCAAACAAGTGAGGGCGGTTCCTGAGACTTCATTGCATGTGTACTCAAGATCTTCGATCGATATCCTGGTTTGGTCTCTATGGCTAAACATAAGAGTCAACAGGAACCAATTAACACTTCCCTTCTCTTTCAGAGTATACAGGATTTCTTAATTCTATTGAAGTCGCCAACAAAAGACGGTCGTCATGGTTTCGTTTCTATATCGAGCGAAGACTTTTATTACTCGATAGACTATAGGTGACAAAACTAACATTTTTCTTCATTCTGAAGTATGAGTTCTAGTTTCAAGGTTACCTAAGTGTTACTTCGACAACACTCTTATAAACCTCTCCTGCAAGTTTGTTGACGTACGGGAATATTGGGTTCTGCTAGTATTTACCAGATAGGAACATCTTTTGCAACCTCGTCGGTACTTGCTAACCCTGTGATGACTTGTTTTTCCCCTTTTTTGCTTCCTGAACCTTCCTTTCGTTTTTTTTTTGTTTTTTTTTTCCCTCTGTTTTTCTTACTATTTTTGAAATTTTAAATTATTTACAGACTTTGACACTATTTCCTCGTTCACTCTTGTTTGAGCTCAAACTCTGTTGGGCCGTGTTCGCTTGTAAATAAGCATTTTTTAGGCAAGTTTTGGTTGAATAGATTTGAACTCTGGTGGACTGCTTATAAGATTATCGCCTTTTACATCTAAAATCTATGTTTCTTCAGTAATGTTCACAGACAGAATCAAACTCTCGGGCCGTTTTTGGGAGAATCCTCGAAATCATTTCCGCGTTGTTTTTGATGACATCGTTTAGGATTCTACAGCAGGCTTTGAACTTCTACTGATTTCATCTTGTGACATGTCTTTCTCCCTTGGAATTGTCTTAGACTATGTCGAATAGAAATGGTATGTTTCCAGTTGATATAATGTGGACTAGAACCTTCGTACCTTTAGGTATTCATTTTGGAGTTCATGTTTCAGACCATGGATAGTATTATCCCTAGTACTATTCACTCCTTGTGTGAGCTTAGTACCCTTCTAGATCCATCAGTTGCTATTTTCATGTAGGATATTAGCTTATTATTCTTTGAACATCGTAGCCACACTAGTAGACCCCTGAAGCGTGCTCAATGTAGCGGCTAGCCGAAACTAATCAGGTCAAGCGCTACACGAATGGTTTCGCATCCCCTTGTCATTGATTCTTATGACATCATTTGTTATGACACGTCACATTCGAGATTCTGAAATATATACCCTTGTGTCATTTTCTCCCTTCCTCCTATTTCCTCGTTCTTCTTTCTTCCTCCTTCATTCTCTCTTTGTTGTGAAAGTTTGATGTCGAACTATGGTTATGGTCTTGTGAGTTAACTTTCTATATGTTATTCTTTTTGTTTACTTTTTGTGTTGCTCCTTCCACACAAGTCAATTTGATTGTTGTCACATCGTCATAGACACGAATGTCCAGGCCCCAAGGTCCTCGTTTCTCGCCTAAGAAGCAATACTCTAGAAATGAGGTCCCCCTAGTTTTCTGTCTTTTGTTGATAATGCCTCTGCAGATATGTTTGGTTGGTTTGTTAGTTGTGAAATACAATGGTTACATCTCTCTTAGTCTTTCTCTCTCCCTACATAATTGATATGGTAGATTTTTTTCGACAATCCATTAATCTAATGACTGCAGATAAGGGATGACTTTTTCTTTTCGGGGTGGTCTAGCTCTCCCATGAATCAAAAACTTAACTGAAACCCTAGTAGTGAAACTCGACCTCTAAATAAAATATATCAAGGTTATGGTCTTCTTTAGATGTTAAAAAAAAACAAAGAAAAGGTGAATACAATGATGATTATAGAAAAAGGAAAAACAGAAAAATAAGAGGAAAATAGGAACAAATAGATATCTGAAGAAAGATTAAAAAAATGTAATGATTACTCAGTTCATGTTCAATGTAACTGTGGCCTGGTATTATGGCTGAGAGAAGGCGAATTTAATTCAGGTTATTAACATTCAGCCCTTTGATATACAACTTGGTTAGTGTTTTAGCATGATATATTGTGTACTTACTTGGAAGTTGTTTCCCACCTCACCTTGTCAACGGTCAAGGTTGTAGTTCAACCTGGGGGGGAAGGGTAAGTAAAGTTGGGCGAGCTGAAAAAAAGAAGACAACCCTGCCTTGACTCACATCATGCGAATATCACTGACTAAGGGTTAAGGGATTATGAGAGATTATATTGTCATGAATAGTGCCCCGTATGGCAACGTATAATATATGTATGCAGGTGGGTGAGCATAGGGGTAGGTTTGCCTCTATTAGGACTATACAAGTATTTCGACCTTTGAAAAGGGATTACGGAAACCTCTTGTGTCGTGTATGATACCAGTTGGCCACTGTAATACGGAGAGATAGTGAATTAACTTCAATTAAGTGAATGAATATATCATTAACCGTAAGAGTATCATTAAGAAGTCAAACTTCTATTTCTAACCAAAATAGTTGAAAAACCAAACAGCGTTTATAACCATTTCTCAAGAGACAAGGTAAAAAATCAGGCAAAAAGTAAAGAGAGATTCAAAATGTGCAAGAAAACTCTTTCTAGCAAAGATTCACTTATAGGACTATAAGTCATTCTCAATAGACGACTCAAAAGGAGAGCTCCAATAAAACAAACTCGAAAGTTAGTAAAAAATCAGTTTTAGTAAATACTTATGTACAAGACTATACATCGTTATCAACAGTTTATAGAATCCATAAAGCAGTTTTGAAGTTAACAGTAAAACCTTGTTAAAAAATGTATGTTATATAAAATAATAACATGAACAACTTTTGTCGCAAGGGAATTTTCAACTTCTTAGTTAAATATAATTAAAAAAAAAAAAAAAAAGTCTGCCTACATATGAGAGAACATGTTCTAGCAAACGTATTTGCAAATAAGATAATATGTTCGCATGTTCGCAAAACCCCTGAACATGTTCGTCGTGCTACATAACTAATGGGACTATACACATGATCTTTTGAGATAATAAACAAATTAAATATTTCAATTCTTGAATATACAATGCTTCGCCTGGTGGTGATTTTCTGTGGAAAAACCTGTTATTTTCCTCACCACTTTCGGTGGTTCTAAATAAGTGTTTTTTAATTCTTTTTTGCCTTTTCTTTTTACTTCACGAAAAATCTGACTTCTCCAAGAGATCTAAGAACCGTATTATCAGAATATTCAATAGATTTCATTCAAACCCAACTTTTTTTTTTCACGAATCTTATGTTAAACACCCTCGACTGATCTACCTTTGCAATTGCATGTCATAACTTTCGTACGTGGGTCAGGGCATCAGTTGGGATATGCCCTTAAGTGTGAAGACAAACCCTTAGGGAAAGGTAAGTTGTGCCTCGCAAAAGCTTATCCTGTCACACTGGGCCGTGAGCTATGAAACATCCGCGGCTGTGGTCACCACGGGCACGACTGCGGTCATGACCATGGCGGCGTCGGTCTTCCGCGGCCCACAACTGCTGAGGGGAGAGGGGGTTGGGGGTCGGGGTTACGGATTGGGGTTCCGAAACCCCTACCTTACCCCCTTGAACAAAAAAAAGTTAAAAAAAATAATTTTCGGGGGGTTCGTTTTCGGTGTGTGAAAAGAAAATAAATAAATAAATAAAAAGTAAATATTGATTGCTTGATTGTTTTTTGATTGATTGATTGATTGATTGATTGACTGATTGATTGATTGATTGATTGATCGATTGATTGATTGGTGGGGGAGGTCCTCCCAACCCTCCCCTCGGCACACACACACACACACACACACACACACACACACACACACACACACACACACACACACACACACAAACGGTGTCATTTTCGGCGGCAACAAAGACCAGGTAGATTCGAATTTTCGGCGCAGCACTGCATAGAGATCACTGCATAGAGTGCATGATGGAAAGATGGATGCACAACATGAGTGCATGTAGTGCAGGGACATGTGAAATGGGACCGGCGGTCCAGAAAGGGCACCCACAAAATTGGGCACCTTGCTGACAGCGGTCTGCAGGAAAGTTCAAGTTCAGAGGCCCCAGGGCCAAGACAGGGCCAAGGGAACAAGGGTAAAATCTGTTGTAGGTCTGCCAGAAAATTGGGCACCTTTTTGACATGGGCCAAGGGAACAAGGGTAAAATCTGTTGTAGGTCTGCCAGAAAATTGGGCACCTTGCTGACATGGGTCAAGGGAACAAGGGTGAAATCTGTTGTAGGTCTGCTAGAAAAAAAAGTTTTTTGCCCGAGATGCTAAGTAACAGATATGAAAAAAAGGGGGGGACGCTGACCCCTTGTTTTTGTCAATGGGTCGAGGCTTGCAGACCCAACTTTACCCAAGTGATCAAGGGTAAATCTGTTGCAGGAAGGAAAGGTTTTCGGCCAGAAAGTCCAAGAAACAGACGAAAAAAAAAAAA